TTATTTTATAATGAATTTATTTTATTTTAAACATATTTAGCGTCATTACTTAAAACTAGAAATTTTTGAGATTTTTCGAAATAGAAAAGATTATTGAACTAGTTTCTGTCTATCTTGCTTTTTTTTATTTTATACTGAATTTCTGTTATTTTAAAACCATTTAATGTCATTTCTTAATACTTAAAATTCAAAATGTTTGTTTGCCGTAATTCAATCAGTTTTTGAGAGTTTTCGAAATAGAAAAAGTGTTTGAACTAGTTTCTCTCTATATTGCTTTTTCATCTATTTTATAATGAATTTCTGCTATATTATACCTATTTAGCGTCATTACTTAAAACGTTTGTTTTCCATAAAATAAAAACTTTTGGAGATTTTTTAAAAAAGAAAAGATTTTTGGACTAGTTTCTGTCTATCTTGCTTTTTCACTTATTTTATAATGAATGTCTCATATTTTAAACCTATTTAGCGTTATTACTTAAAACTTCAAATTTAAACATTTTGAGATTTTTCGAAATAGGAAACATTTTTGGACTAGTTTTGGTCTATCTAGCTTGTTCATCTGTTTCATAATAAATTTCTGTTATTTTAAATCTATTTAGCATCATTTCTTAAAACTTGAAATTAAAAACGTTTGTTTTCCGTAATTCAACAATTTTTTGAAATAGAATAGATTTTTGGACTAGTTTCTGTTTATATTGCTTTTTCTTCTTCTTTATAATGAGTTTCTCCTATTTTAAACATATTTAGCGTCATTACTTAAAAATTCAAATTTAAACGTTTTGAGATTTTTCGAAATAGAAAGCATTTTTGGACTAGTTTTGGTCTATCTAGCTTGTTTATCTGTTTTATAATAAGTTTCTCTTATTTTAAACCTATTTAGCGTAATTTTTTAAAAACATTAAAATTCAAAACGTTTGTTTTCCGTAATTCAACCAGTGTTTAAAATTTTTTAAAATAGAAAATAATTTTGGACTAGTTTCTATCTTGCTTTTTCATCTATATGATACTGAATTTCTCCTATATTAAACCTATTTAGCGTCATTACTTAAAATTTCAAATGGCACCGTTTGTTTTCCGTAAAATAAACACTTTTTGAGATTCTTCAAAACAGAAAACATTTTTGGACTAGTTTTGGTCTATCTAGCTTTTTCATCTATCTTATAATGAATGTCTCCTATTTTAAACCTATTTAGCGTAATTACTTATTTATTGCATTCTTGTACAAACGAACTCCTGAAGCTCTGAAATGGTTGTACAAGTAAAAATGGCTTTTATTATTATTTGTCAACGCTTTCGAGAGCGACTCACATATAATTGTGTCCATCATGTACATTTATTTGTGAAAATATGGTTAATTCATTTGACAGAAAAAGAAAGGAAACGTTTTTTATCTCACACTGTTATCTATATTGGGATCGGTTTTAAACTTTAACATTAACTTCATTTTTAGGTTATCTAAAGTGAAAAAGTTATTTTATTTACAAATAGAGGAAAGCAAAGAGTAGGAGACCAATAAATAATTTTGTCCACGACTGTTCTATAAAACATTCAATAATAATAATAATAATAATAATAATAATAATAATAACGTTTATTCAAAAAAAGAAATATAAATATCAATTACAATTACATAGTTAATTTAAATATAAACATTGGTAACTTGCTGAGGCATTGTAATCCCTGTGTGCGAGCTAGGATATTTTAAATTTTTTTTTTTTTTAAACACAAATAAAATTCGATATAGAATAATAAATAAATAGATAAATTCATGATAAACAAATAATGAAACAAGTAACAAAGCATATAATATAACATAAAACAAGTAATAAAACAAATAATAGAACATAATAAGCAAACAGTAGAACAAATAGTAACAGGGAGATAAAATATAGACATATTCGATATTTAATTCATAATGAAATATAGTTAAGTATTATTTTTTTTTTTTTATTTTTAAAGTGGAAAATTTATTAATTATAAATTATTTTAGATATCTTAAATCAATTAGGCTATTAAAAATATACTTGTACTTCCTTAAGAATAATAATACCTATTATTCACTAGTGAATAATGATCCATTAGTCACGGTATGACGTCACGACAGCACGTATGTCTAAACTGATATGAAAATATTCTTTATAGGTAATCGAAAAATCGAAAAAAAATCGAAAAATCGAAAAATCGAAAAATCGAAAAATCGAAAAATCGAAAAATCGAAAAATAGAAAAATCGAAAAATCGAAAAATCGAAAAATCGAAAAATCGAAAAATCGAAAAATAGAAAAATCGAAATATCGAAAAATCGAAAAATCGAAAAATTTGAAAAATCGAAAAATCGAAAAATTGAAAAATCGAAAAATCGAAAAATCGAAAAATCGATTAAAACGAAAAATCGAAAAGTCGAAAAAACAACAGTTAGTTACCTATGTTTTATAAAAACTTTCCATTCTACACTTAACTTTTATTTAATAAAGAAACCATAATGGTCGTGGACAAAGTATAGTATTAGACTCGCAATTTATGGCCATTATTCACGCAGGGTGACGTTTGCGTCCCGAGCCGTAGGCGACCATAAATTGCTCGTTTAATAATATACCATAATACTATTATCAAGTTAATAAATATTTAAGAGATTTTTTCAAATATTTCTGAGTTGCTTTTTTTGTGGGTTAGCGTATAATATGTTTCACGGAGAAAGACCCATTTTAGGAGGTAAACGAACACATTGAAAACTTCTAATTCCTTATGAACCTTTACTTTTAGTCCGACTTTTTGTGAAATATGCAGGAAATGCAAATAATAACAAAACATTTGGCGAATAAGCCTTGATTTTCTCTAAACCTTCGAAAAAGTATTTATTTTGATAATTTTTAAAAGAAACAAAAAAAAACATTTACACGTCATTCCGTATTAAATCTATGAAAATTTTAAAGTTTTCGTTTTAATAAATATCTATACTCTGTTTTAAACTAAGAGGAGCGATTTGAAGTTAAGTTGGCAATTCTGTAGACTGCTGATTGGTCAGATTACAGTCAGTTTCATACATTACTTTTTAGCTGATAATTGTTATTGTTGACAGTTCTATTCTGACATTTTATATTTTAAGTTTTGTTATTGCTTTGATATCTCATCATTATTACTTAGTTTTTATTTTATTTCTTTAATAACAGTTCTTTACAAAACTTTAGTAAGCAATTGTATTGAATTTTTACGATTATGGGTCCTTCTACATCGAATTCTATTATAGCAGTTCCTCGCGGAGTACATCAAAACAACGAAAACAAATGAGTTTAGGCCATTAAGGTCTCTCAGAAAAGCAGTAAATAATAAATATCTACAAATAGGTATTGGATAATAATACAAAAACCAAAATTGTTGATGTTACATCCAAAATTTCTCAAGCCATCGGTAAGTTTTACTCATTACTTTCAAATTAAAAATAATATTACTCAACATTTTTCTTACAGTTATTGCAAAGTCAACTACTTACCGATTATTGAAATAATACTGTAATAATGGAACAATATCTAGTCCAAAAAGTATTTGTGGAAGACAAGGACTTCTAAAAACATTTGACGAGATGTTCTAAATGCTATTCGTAGATAGTACAAGATTTCTTTTTCAAAAATGAATTATCTAGATTGAAAAATTTTTTGCAAGAATTGAAACATTTTGATTTGCCACAAATATATTATTCATATTTATATACTTTCTTGAGACATAACATAAGTAAGTTGTAACTTTGAACAGTCAAATGTACTGTTTATTTATTATGTATATTTTTTAGATATTTGAAAAGAAATTTTCAAAGTGTATTAATATAATGCTATATCTGTAGATTTTAAATCCATCAAACAATTTAGAAAAGAAAACATGCCAAGCTTTTACTTAGATAAAGGTCATAGTAAGGTTTATCCACGGGCCTGAAAAGCCTTACAAGAAAGTGAAGATGCTTTAATATATACATGCTAATTCTGAAGGTTTTGTAGAAAATGCATTTACCATGAAGAGACGAAATCTGAAGTATTTTAGAATTGGTTTTCTACTTTTTTTACAAAGTTTCCTAATGATACTATGTTTGTGATGGAAAATGTATCATATCATAGTCCAAAAGTTGAAAAAATTCCTTTGTCATCAACAAAATCTGAAATGCAGGAGTAATTACAAACTAAAAATATTAAATTTATTTAAATATGAAGCAATCAACTTTTACACCTAATTTGACAACATAAAGATGCACATAATTTGTATGTTGTCGATGAAATGGCTAAAGAAACCAATAAAGTTGTTTTTTTTAAACTTTATTAATAATTAAAATATAGTAAATTTACAAAATAAAGATACTATTATTCATATGCTGTTTTTCTAACTTATATTAAAAAAAAAAAAATACAAAACTACAGTGTAGTATACAAAAATTACAACTGCTGTCATTTTTATTGTAAAATTTGAAGGGTGCTACCTTACACACATTTAAAATTATTACTTTTTTAAGTCATTCTGTATTTAACTTTTAAATAAAAATTCTTGTTCTGCAAGGTATAAGTGGTAAGAGTAGAATTGAGCAGCTGTTTTTGAGATATCTGGATTTATAAAAGGGCTTCCTTTAAATTTTACAATAAAAATGAGAGCAGCTTTAAATTTTTGTAGTTACAAACTAAAAATATTAAATTTATTTAAATATGAAGCAATATCAACTTTTACACCTAATTCGTCAACCACTCCAAGCCAAACATTTTGAAAATACACCAATTATTAAAAAAAATATTCATGAAAAACTAAATTGAACTTTTAACACTCTGTATTTCCGAAATCATCCACTTTTGGACTGATGTAAGATGGGCTAAATCGTTATATTTAAGCCTCAGGAATGTGGCAGCATTTCTTCCGCAATATTATAAATTGTTCAACATTGCTTTTTGGGTGTTCTACATCTGATTTTTTTTTTAACTAATTCATTTTGATATATTTCTACTCAAAAAATTATTTACTTTATTTCAGTCGCGATTGTTGGGCATTGTTTTGCTCAGTTGCTTATCCAATGCCAGTGTCATCCCTACAATAAAAGTCCTTCAAGGCCCCGGAAGCAAAACTTTACTTGTAGGTCCAGACGGTAGCGCAGTAGATTCAGCAGCACCTGGAGGTACTGTCGTCACAGATGATCATGGAACAGGTTTGGTAGCAGCGGGTCCAGCTGTACTTCCTGCAGGTTGGTAGTAATTAATTATTATATTGTATTTGTTCAGTGTCTGTGTTTTTTATAGCCATATTTTAGGTATCTTTATGTTATAAATTTCAATGTCCAATTTCATTATTTCGTCCAGCTAACGAATGCGCAAATATCATTGCCTTCTGCTTGTCTTCTTTCCTCCAATAGATAATACTTAGTTGAATTAATTTGTATTTCATTTGAAATTGTCAATACATTATTAAGGTATTTCCTGCAATTAGTCTTGCATGTACTTCTTCTTGGCATCCAAAAGTTCTTGTTATAATTGTCTCCCTTTTTGCGTCATCATTCTTTTAAATAAGTTGACTATGTTTCGCAAAATTTATCTACTTGTTTAATTTAATTTATCAGATATGTTTAACAAAATTATTAGCAAACAATTATAGTTCTTTCTTCCCTAATCAGATTTTACTAAAACTATCTATACATCTGCTTTTTCCTAACTACCTAAGAGAGCAATCATGTTATAATAAACAAACATCTTTGTTTTAGGTCCAGAACTGGCAGTTCATGGTCCAGCTGGATCTGTTATTACCAGTTTCTCTCAAGCGGGCCCTGCTATAGTACCAGGAGTCGCTCCTGCTGCAGTAGTACCTGTCGCTGTAGCCCCAGCTGCAGTAGTTCCTGCTGCTGTTGCTCCAATTGCTGCAGTAGTTAATGGACCTGCTCCTGGAGCTTATGCCTCGGATAATGCAGAGGCATTGTATGATGATGGATCGTATAAGGGAGAACATTAAGCATATTCGTTATTATTTTGTAAAAACATAGTATTTTTGGCATATATGTGGCATTTGGAAATTCAAACTTCAATAGATATATTGGAAAGTATCTACATGCTCAAACTGGTTGTGTAAATCGGTTTACTTTTAAAAATATTTAATGATCTAAGTAAAAAATCATTCAGGCTAAATACGTACCTAATATTTGTATATTATGTGAAAAATTACAGTGTTTTTACAAAATATCAAACTATCTTGAAAACTGATTCTTTATTATGAACGGATTATGTTTAAGTCAAGTTTGTATTAAATTCTAGTCTATATGTTTATTTTTGTAAACCATCACGACTATTTCTAAGTAGTAAATACGTTTTTGATATTAAAGGCTATTTATTTTAAAAATGTAAGGTAATATTTCCTTAACAACAATCAAATTCTAAAGTTAACAAATTGTTGAACAATTAATGTTTAACCAAAAATTTGAACATCTCAAGAGAAATGCAATAATTTGTTTTTTGATGTACCTTATTGGATATCCAAAATTTTGTTATACAGGGTGTTATTTTCGAGACGAAAACAAATGGGTAAATTTTAAGTTAGCTGGATTTTAATTATGGTTTCTAAAGCATTATTTTGCTATCTTAGGGAAAATATATGTGCCAAATCTTCAATTTTTGTACTGGGTGGCTTTCGAATTTTTGCAAACTAAAAAGTCAATCGAAATCCATTAAACGCCCTGTATCTAGGTAATTAGATAACAGAGACAAACCCAATCATAATGGGTGATTTTAAAACCTTCAAATGTCAACATCTAAGACACTCGCCAGGACCACTAATTTATCCATTATTACATATTGTAGTAGCCTAAGGCTGTTATGAAAAAAGTACGATTAAAAAAAAGAGAATAGACTAGAAATGTCTAGAAATGTCATTCCGTGTCAAGAATCATCCGGAAGTTTCAAGAAGTTACAAAACTGCTAAATAAGTTAATGATCCTGACATCCCAGGGCAGTTTTATGACAGACGTTTTACGTTTATGCTATCAGTTATATAGTTGAGTTTTAAAAGTTGAGTTTAAAATAAATTGAGTTACCAAAAACCGGTATAATATTGGTGACAGCGGTAAAAGTTACCTAAGCGTTCTATTTATGGTGAATACTAGATCCACTGCGTACGAAATAGATATGGGTACTTCAGGTTCACCAGCATGGTTTTTGAAGAAGAAAGAGGAGAGAGAAAGGTGAAAAAAGGGAGAGGTAAGTATGGAAGTGTTCAAGCGCTTTGACAACAGCTAGAAGGTATTTCCTAATGCCGCAACTTTTCTTCTCAGCTTTTCACAAGGTATTACTACAATACGCAATTAATTTCTCTTCTCTTCTTGGAAAAGATAAAGTAATTTAGTGTTTATATCTTTATTCGTTGTTGAGTTGTCTTCATAATTCTAATTTTTTATTTTTCTTAAATATCTCGAATAATGTCCATATTAGAGAAATTATGTATGGAACAAGAATTGTACAAAATGACATCACAACCAACATTTATTTAAAAGTTTTTTATAAAAATTATTTTTTTATATTTTATGAATTTTCTTGAATACGAACCATTTTATGATCTTCAACAAATTTTTTATTTTTAAGTGGCAAAAAAGGTTTAAAATTATAATTTTGTCTCGAGTAGGTGTTAAAATTGTTTGAGTTTTCTTTTCTTGTAAAACTTTTGTATAAAAATGATATTAATGTTTTCTAATCAAAATAAAAAAAAAATCAAAAAAGATATGATCGAATTTCATCATCATAAAATAAATAAAATAATATTCCTTGTCTACAGTTATGCCTCTTGCCAATTTTGATAACTATTTATTAATATGATGTGAATATTATGCCAAAAAAAAAATAACAAAAATATTATATTTATATTTTAACACTTTGCTTCTTTTTCCTCAACATTTTATTAAGGCATATTTGGTAGAATCCTCATATTTTAAACCAAATAACAAGTGCTTACTTTATGTCCCAACAGTTATGACTCACCCTCTATACGTAAACAAGTTTATTCCAAATTAGGTCTCTGTTTTATTGGTAGATTCGATTTGCACTATGATATGATCACTTGCAGTAAAAGGGAAACTATTTTTAATAAGGAAACGCTGATTTGAGGGAAAGTCGGAAATACGGCGTTTCTTATTTCCTTTGCAACTGATACTAATAAACATTCAAAACTGGTGGTAAACAGGACATTGAATTGAAACTTTCAGGAAGTTACTTTTTATTTATGACTACACAAGTTTCAGGAGCTTCTTTTTACTATAGCTTATTAAAGAAATGGAAATTTTTGCAAGGGTGGTAAAAAGTATTGAATATTACTCCGTTCGCCATCTTTATAAATTGGACTTGCACCTAGGGAAATTTTTTGCTATGGTAGCAAAAAATGTATTAACCCTTAAAAAAACTATTAAAATAGGCGACAGCCAAAGTACTTTGCTACGGTTAATAAATTCACTTTTTTGGAATTACTTTTTAGTCCCTCAAAACTTACTTTTTAGTTTTTATCAATTTTAGTAGTTAGAAAGTAAAATTTTACTCACTAAAAAGTAGTTTTTTAGTGTTAAAAAGTAGGTTTTTAGTGTTAAAAAGTAGGTTTTTAGTGATTAAAAAGTAGTGTGTAGTGGTTTAAAAGTAATTTTTACCTTTAAAAAGTAGATTTTAATGATTATACAGTTAATTTTCACCTTTAAAAAGTATTAAATTTTGCTATGTAGGGCTGGTTTCTTTAGCTCTTAGGCCGCTTTTTCTATCAAAAAATGAAGTTCAGTTAAAGTCGAAATACAAGAATGTTTTGCATGTATTAAATGTCAAATTTCCAGATTTACCGAGGATAACTGAACTTTATATTTGTTCATAATGAAACCAGTTCTGTAAAAATAGAAAAATTAACTTTTCAGCCGTGCCTTACAAACTATATATAATTATTAGAGCAAAATTTATATAATATATACCGAACTATATAATTAACACAAATTTTTATTTAACCTGTGGTGGAAATACAGATCAACATAGGAAAGGAAGGGTTTCAACAATAAAAGAGACGATTATTTTGTAATAAATATATTAGTTATATTGCTAAATATTTCAAAAATGTATTTGAATTTTAAAAATTCAGTAGGTTATGTAATATAAAATTGTTATTTGATAATTTAAACTTATTTGTCTTTAGACGTATAATAACGTAAGGCATATGTTTCAAGAAATTTCAAATGAGCAGTTAGTAGCTTTAAATTAATCCGGTATTTATTCTTTGTGAAAAATCCTAAAAGAAATTTTATTCTAAATATATTGTTTTTTGTTTATTATAATATAGAATAGAATAAGAAAATCCATGCCATTTAGATTATTAACTAAAATAGGTAGGAACATAAAAACATAAGATTCTTCTATCTACCAGGTGGGAAATTCCATCCGATCCTTCCTTAATATCTAGAAAAAAAAATTCTATTTTATTAATACTATCTCAGAAACGCAAATTTCGAATTTTAATAAACTTGAGCACTAGTCGTGGATCCTAGAAACCCCCTCCCCTAGCTAAGTTAGTTAAGAATTTAGATAAAAATTAATGTCAGTTATTTTTGAGAAATGTTTAAATTTAGGTTTTTAAGGTCTGTAAACGCTAAGGTTATACTGTTAAATGCAACAAAAAATTAATCAGTCTCCTTAATCCTTTTTAAAACTGTCAAAATTCATTAAAAAAACTTTTTTTTTAACTAAACATGTACTTTTTAGTTTTTATTAATTTTAGTGGTTAGGAAGTAAAATTTTACTCACTAAAAAGTAGTTTTTTATGGTTCAAAAGTAGGTGTTTAGTGGTTAAACAGTATTTTTCTTGCAATTAAAAAGTATTTTGTTAAGGTGATTACAGCATCCCCTTATAATTTTCGGACAAGGATATCTCAAAAAGTGATTTTTTTAGAAAATTTAAATTTGGGTAAAATAAATTAGGCAACAATATCTAGAATATGCATATTTTTTAAAGTTTTAATTCCTTTCAGTTTCCGAGAAAAAAAATCAAAGGTCTTTAAATTTTAAAATATCATAATGAAAATAAATGCATTCCTCAACAGCACTATTCCTAATATAATCCCTAAATTTAAGCTCTCAATCTCTTGTTAATGATTTTTTAAAATTCGCCGAAATTAGTGGCTAAAACGCTTCGTTAAGTGCTTCTTTCTAGTGTAACGCGTCTGTAACTATCGTATCGTACACTCTGAGTCATCATCCGTTTCTTGCAACGATTTAAACCAGTTTACACCAGTTTAAACCAGAAAATAGCACTTAACAAGGCGTTTTAGCCACTAATTTCAGCGAATTTTAAAAACTCATTAACAAAAAATTAAGAGCTTAAATTTGGGGATTATATTAATAATAGTGCTGTTTAGGAATGCATTTATTTTCATTATGATAATTCAAAATTTAAAGCCCTTTAATTTTTTTTCTCGGAAACTGGAAGGAATTATAATTTTAAAATATATGCATGTTTTAGATATTATTGCCTAATATATTTTGCCAAAATTTTAATTTTTTTAAAAAATTACTTTTTGAGATATCCTTGTCCGAAAATTATAAGGGGGTGCTGTAATCACCTTAACTTGAACAGGAAGTTTTAATTGTTGCAAAAAATTACTCAGTCTTCCGAATCCTTTGTAAAACTGTCAAAATTCATTAAAAAAACTTAAGCCGGAACATTTAAAACAGAAAACATTTGGGGCATGCGCATTATCAATTTCCAAACAAAATTAAATAAAATAAGGTATACCTATCTTTTCTACTAATTCTTATTTCTTATTCTAGGTTATTTCATATATACCTAAACGCTATACAGATGTGCATGTTTAATTTGCCAAAAAGTGGTACAAAAAAAATAATTACAATACATTTTTGTTTTCTATTTCTTAATTTAATAAAAATATCAAAAAACACTGCCATATATGTGTTTTGTTAGAAAATATCTGTTAACGTCACTGGAACAAATAATTTTAATCTTAAACATTTAACCCTCAGTACTCAAAATAGCCTCCAAGTTTCATCAAAATAGAAAAAGGAATTTCTGATATCTTAATGAAAAACTTTTTGCTTTTCCTTAATTAACTTTAAAGTGAGGGGTCAATACATTTGAAACCGATAAATTAGTAGATATAAAATACTTTTATATTATACGTTATGTACTTACCCTTAAAATTTTCAACAAAATCTTAAAGTCCCAATTAGTCAGCTTTTTTGTGTAATCCATTGGAAAACGAACACAACTTATGCACAATTATTGCAAAAATGGCGTCAGACCTACGATTTGCCAACCTAACGTGGATGACCTT